GACCTTGCCATCCTTGATGTCATCAATGACGCCCTCCTCCTTGGTGGCCTTGCGCCGGACCCACACGCCGCTGCGGAAGCCCAGCTCGGCGAGCAAGGCACCTGCATCCTTCAAGCGGCCCTCGGCATCCAGCTCTCGCATCCTGAGACAGCAGTTGCAAGGTTTGAAGTATTTCAGTGATATTTCGAGAGCGGGCGACCTTCTACAACGCAAGACCCCTGCAGGCTGAAACAAACCATACAGTCTTATGCAGACATGACTCATGAGAGAAGCTCCCGCAGCTGGCGCATCTGCAGACGCGGCGGATGCCTCTTGCTCGGCGTACTCACGCCAAGGTGTCCCGAAGTCCACGCCGGTCACGAGGCGCGCGACCAGACACCAATCATGAGCGATGCCCTGCAGAGTCTTATACTTCTTGCCCTCACCTCGAAGGGAGACGGCGTGGCCGCACAGCGCCATCTCGGTGAGCCCTGTGGCGGTCTGCAGGGAGTGAGCGCTGCGGTGCTCCTCATCAAGGCGCTGCAGCATGGAGGCCATCTCGCACATGATGCTGTCCGCCAAGGCCACATCGGCGCGGGCATTCTTCGCAAACATGGCGCGGACATTTTGCTCAGCCACATTCTGGCGCACGTACGCGCACTTCAGGAGGCCATGGCGAAAACGAGAAAACTGCTGGACGGAGCCCTTGATGTCCTGGCCGAGGAGCTCCCAAGTCCGAGAAGGCAGGCACCTGTTGCTTGGGCAATTGCTCCGGACAAACCGCTGCGTTTCTGCCAGCAGAGGGGCTGACTCACCACCACAGTGGCGGAGAAGGAACATGTACATCGAAGGCATGCTCCCGCTGCACTGCGGCTGGCTCGCCGTGGCCTGCTTCCGGATGGAGGAATAGTCGCTTGGGGCGCCCGCGGCCTGACGGCTCCTCCATAAAGCATGCATCCTGAGCATGACCTGCAGCTCATGCTAGGGTGGTATTGCCGGCCCGTTGCACCAGTTCCAGGACTTTCGGCACCTTCTTGGCAACGACCGCGGAGATCACCTCCCACCTCAAGCCCTGCATGCAGGCATTGTACAAGGCGATGTCCTTTGCCTTGAGACGCTGCAGGCACAGCGCCCCATCCACGGCCACCTCCGGATGGTCGCAGCGCACGCTGTCCAAGAACAAGCGCAGCACGAAGTTCGTGTGCGAGCCCGCAAGGCTCGCGTACTTCAACGGAGCATCTTGCTGTCCAAGAGCCCCCCCAGCGGATTGCAGGAGCTTCTCGTTGAAGTCTGCAGAAAGCCGCCTGTCAGCGCTTTCAAGCTCCACGCAAACTGCCTGAACACGGCTAGCAACAAAGCCTACAGAGAGGATGCCTTCCATGAGCTCCTTCACGTCCATGACGTTAAGGCCGTAGCCTTCCCTGTTGCTGCAGTGAACCCCCACCATCTTCGGGGGAATTGTAGCCTCATGAGCTAACCCATGTTGGCGAAGGAGATTCATGATCTCCTGAGTGCTCCGCACAAGCTTGTCCCCGGAGTCCCCAGCATTGCACAAACGCTCCAACTCGAGCTGCACTTCCGGGGTGAGGGCCATGATGCGCAACGAACCAAACTTTCGAGCCCGCAATCTATTTCGGACGTACGCATGGTTGACAAACAAAGGTCATGCGCATGGTCTCCGGCCGCAATATGTGCGTGTGCCCTGCATGCGCGACGACCAGCCACGAAGCCGAAAGCCTGCTTGCGAGCAACCCGTGAAAACGCTGCACAGCGTGCAGCGCATGCGCCTCTGCAGCTGGACGAGCGACTGCGGCCGACGCCTGCGTTGGCTTTCCAACTTGGGATTCTGCGCGAAAAACATGTCTTGAAGGCTTATACTGGCGTGACAACCTTCTCAGGCGCAGTGCGCCCACATGTCAAAACAGACGAAAAGGATAAGCCGCCCACGCCTAACTTTGATTTTCCTCACATGCGCCCGGCTTGCCGTGCACCAGGAAAGCTGAAGACTGCTCGTCGCTCAAGGGTAAAAAACAACAAACGCCCACGCACAAAACGTGTTCTTGGCATGTGTCACGTGCATGATATTTCCACTTAGTGCACTTAGGTGATTAAGGCGCTAAGTGCAGTAACCTGCTTGCAGGATAAACGCTAAGTGAAAGCCAAATGGTACAAACACATGCAAACACAAGCGGTGTTTAGTATTCACTGCCAGTCAGTTGCCATGTGGGATAATTCCTTTGCTGCGAATGCGTGACTTGGGTGTTAACTTGAGGAGGATACAAGTGGAATAGAACCCTACTTGTTCTACATCGTATATGCTTCAATCAAGCTAAACACATACTACACACCCGGCCCCTTTAAGTTCCGAATGTCACGAGCGTCCACCGCGCAGTCTCGCTCGCGGGCGGTTTCCCCATGTCACGAGCGTCCACCACGCCAGTCTCGCTCGCGGGCGGTTTCCGCATGTCACGAGCGTCCACCGCGCCAGTCTCGCTCGCGGGCGGTTTCCGCATGTCACGAGCGTCCACCGCGCCAGTCTCGCTCGCGGGCGGTTTCCGCATGTCACGAGCGTCCACCGCGCCAGTCTCGCTCGCGGGCGGTTTCCGCAATGTCACGAGCGTCCACCGCGCCAGTCTCGCTCGCGGGCGGTTTCCGCATGTCACGAGCGTCCACCGCGCCAGTCTCGCTCGCGGGCGGTTTCCGCAACTCTCGCTCCGGGCGGTTTCCGCATGTCACGAGCGTCCACCGCGCCAGTCTCGCTCGCGGGCGGTTTCCGCATGTCACGAGCGTCCACCGCGCCAGTCTCGCTCGCGGGCGGTTTCCGCATGTCACGAGCGTCCACCGCGCCAGTCTCGCTCGCGGGCGGTTTCCGCGTGTCACGAGCGTCCACCGCGCCAGTCTCGCTCGCGGGCGGTTTCCGCATGTCACGAGCGTCCACCGCGCCAGTCTCGCTCGCGGGCGGTTTCCGCATGTCACGAGCGTCCACCGCGCCAGTCTCGCTCGCGGGCGGTTTCCGCATGTCACGAGCGTCCACCGCGCCAGTCTCGCTCGCGGGCGGTTTCCGCATGTCACGAGCGTCCACCGCGCCAGTCTCGCTCGCGGGCGGTTTCCGCATGTCACGAGCGTCCACCGCGCCAGTCTCGCTCGCGGGCGGTTTCCGCATGTCACGAGCGTCCACCGCGCCAGTCTCGCTCGCGGGCGGTTTCCGCATGTCACGAGCGTCCACCGCGCCAGTCTCGCTCGCGGGCGGTTTCCGCATGTCACGAGCGTCCACCGCGCCAGTCTCGCTCGCGGGCGGTTTCCGCATGTCACGAGCGTCCACCGCGCCAGTCTCGCTCGCGGGCGGTTTCCGCATGTCACGAGCGTCCACTGCGCCAGTCTCGCTCGCGGGCGGTTTCCGCATGTCACGAGCGTCCACCGCGCCAGTCTCGCTCGCGGGCGGTTTCCAGCCAGCCTCGCGGCGTGCCCAGTCTGCACCACACCGCCGTCCCCCCAGCCAGCCAGTCTCGCTCGCGGGAAGTTTCCAGCTCACCCAGTCTGCACCACACCGCCGTCCCCCCAGCCAGCCCCACACCGCCGTCCCCCCAGCCAGCCTCGTACGCCCGGTCTGCACCCCCAGCCGGCATCGCACGCCCGGTCTGTAGCACAACGAAATGGAAATCCCTTCTTATCTCCGTCGTCACAGCTTGTATCGCTCCCAGGCACCTTAAGAGAAAACCTAAAGCAGAACCCAAGCATCAGAGATGCTTTTGGGAAAAACACATCATGGGTACCGAGCCTTAACCAGAGCCCCAGGGCATATATGAAGGCGCTTGGCTTTGTTAAAGCTGGCGACGGGAACAACCAATGCCTTTTGTCAGTCAAATGGTCTTCTCAAAAAGTTGAACTAGGTCCTCCAGTAGAGAGGTTTGAATAAGGGTACCCTTTTTCTGTAGTCTATTTTAGTAGAACCCTCCCCCAACAAATGGTAAAAGGGCACTACTGGGGGACCTAGTTCAAGTCCAGCAACTCAGGAAGCGAAAAACTGAGACATGCAAACAACTCACGCTGCCTTTCTTACGCGATACTCCCTCAAACGCTCGCCGTTTTTGGCACGGATGCGAGAGGGCGGGCAGTGATGCATTCCCTGTTGCGACTTCATGTCCGAAATCGGGACATCCGAGCCCTGGCAATATATATATATATATACTCATACCTTGGGGCAACCCTGGTGAAGTCAGCTTCAGGGTTTGCCAATGTAAGGCCACACGTAATGAGAATGAATGGGGGTGTGGGGAACTGGAGCCACATCTAGCCATGGCGGGAAAACAATGTGCAATTAGTCAGCCCCTACATCTTCTCCTTAAACATGATCCAAGCTTCCACACTCTGAACTCAACTGGAGATGTGGCCAACTTAAGAAGACACGCATCTCTAAAAACACAACATCTCACTTCCGACGGGGTGGATTGCCCAAAAAGTCGGCCTGGGTTTCGCTTCATCACTAAACTGGCAACCAAACCCAAGGAGTGACTAACACGTCCATTGGCTTAAGCGCCCTGGGAAAAAAATTAAGAAAACATGTCCAGTGAAATCGATTCCCTTTAAACCCCACAAGGGATAATGAACTTTTTGTTCAGATGATGGAAGGCGCCTAGTTGGATTGGAAGGGGGCGGATGTCTTTTGAGGCCACGCTGTCCAAAGGCTTTTGGAGGTTGTCTAGGTCCTCCAGTAGAGAGGTTAGAATAAGGGTAGAGGTTCAGCCCAGATAGGCTCCGGGGTGGTCCGGGGCGGCCCTGAGGTAATTCCACGAGGGTTGCACCAGGGTTCCACGAGATTCTGCGAGGGCTGCGGGGTGGTGCAAGCACTAAAAAGAGCACGGCATGCTGTTGGGGATATCACCTGAGCTTATTTTCTGTAGTCTATTTTAGTAGGGGACCCCTCCCCCAAGTTGGTAATCGGCGAAACACGTCCGTTTCCAGGCAACTCGGGGAGTGAGTTCTTTCGTTCGCCCGAGGCGATTGGCCCGAGGGGTTCGCGCCTGGCGTGGCGACTGCCCTGGCCCGGCAGGCTGTACTTGTGCCCCGACCTGGCGCTCCATTTGCCTCGGAAACCTGGGGGCCTGGGGGCGTGTCCTTCTTTCCGAGGGAAGCGAAGAGGCCTTGTAAAGACTGCTGAAACCTGGGGGGGTGTCCGAGCCTCTTCCCACCAAGAATGGAAGCGGAGAGGGCGTTTGAAGACCATCTGGCAGCAGCCTCCTGCCCACTTTCATGTTTGGAAAGAGGGTATATGGGTGTCTCTTGACACATTGTTGACCCGACGAAAAGGAAAGGGCTAACAACCGGGGCTTGCCGTGCAAGCCAAGAAGTCAAGAAAAAATGGCGGTTTCCCCTTTAGTTTACCTTTGACCTAAGCCCTAAAAGGGTATATTATACAAAATGGCAGCGTGTTTCTGCCGGAAACTCTTCCAATGGCAAAGCTTCGTCTCCAGACCGCACCTCTCATTTGGGTATTTGGCCTGTCCGTTGTCGGATCCCGCTGAAAGTTTAACCTGTAGTGGGTTAAATGGAAGGCCCCACCAAACACGAAGGACCTAAACACCTACAGGGATGGCTGGAAACCACCAAGGTATGTCCAATGTCTTTTTTGTGAGACCTTTGCGGGTGGCTGGGAAACAGTAAGGGAAAGATTGGTTTAGGTCCCCTTTGACACATACGCATGCCCAAGCCTACATACTCTACGGCTCAAAACAAACAAACCGGGCACGACTGGAGGTCTGGGACAAAGGGACTTTTGTTAAAGGGCGGACTCCAGCGAAACGGACTAAGAAGATCGGGTGATCCTGGTTTTGTGTCTCCGCATGTTTTCGTGTTTCTTTTTTCTTTTGGGGTGGGGCGGGGGGTGGGGCTGGAACAAAAACTTGGCACGGGTTCACGTTGAAGGAGTCTGGGTTTCAGACCTCCACAGGCTCTGTCCGAACCATTCCACAACAAAACCCCGCGAAATTTCTCGCTCGCCGGATTGGATCCCCCCTGAAAACAAAAAAACGGTGTGTAGTGGCCGCACAAATGGTCCAAGCAACGGTTTTGGCCAAGTCTGAAGTCCAAGCAACCCCCGTTTAATGGTCCAAGTCACAACCAAAAAAACAAAACTGGGAAGTGACCAAAGTCTGAAACGCAACTCACGGAGTGAGGCTTGGCACAGTCTGCTGTGATTGGCTATGCCTTCATGCCTGCGAGCTATCGGATCTCCATTGGCAAATACATCCCCACAAAAATAACATATGTCCAGTATCATAATAATAAAGCAAACAGAAAAATCAGATTCTTGATTCTGGAGGGATTGCTGGGAAGAACATAGGTGTCCTTTTAGGGGAAACAGATGGCCCTGGTAGAGGATTAAACCACCAGGTACTATCTTTTGGTTCTACCAAAACGATCCAAAAGGACAGCTATGGAGAAGAAGCTGTTATTTGCCATGATTAGAGTTAGGCCCAGTTATAGAATTCAGATCTTATTGTTTGCTTCTCTTTGAGTCACTGGTAAAATGTAAAATGCATCCTAAGCCTACCCCAGTTGCTACCCAGCTGGTCGGGCCATCCGCGAAACTGGAGCTTCCCTGAGCAGCCGCGCTCGCGAGCCGTTTTGGTGCACATCTGGATCGGCTTGGCCCTGACAAAAGTCGAGAGAATGTGTGTGGCTCAAAATTAAACCACCAGGATATGGACCACAGGCTTTAGTCCTGGGTTCCATTTACCAGGGTTCCATGTTGGGTAGCCATTTTTGACCCACAGCTAAAATCGCTCTTACCTGGAGGCAGGTTTGCTCTTTAATGTAATGCTACAATTTGGCAAAACAAAATGAATCTAAGGTTTGATCCCCGATTTTCTTCACCCATCGTTCTCTTTAGACACCACCTATTTTCCAGGGTTTGGCAACCATGTTTTGAAGAGAAGGATCCCTGAAGAGAATGGAAACGGAGGGTGCAGCTAGAGTGACCCTTTTCCCAGACCAAAAGGAAACCACCATGGGGATGATATAAGAACCTTCCAAACCATGACACATGTCCTCCAACATTCAACTGAAGGACACTTCCGGTAGCATTGATGGCCCTCAGAAGACTCCCTCTATTTCCCCTTAAACATCACCACCAAGGGACACTCACCTCACCTTTCATGGGCCAAAAAGGTGATATTTTAAACATAGGGACTGAATGAGAGCTTTGTAGATGTCCAACCCGAAAAGACACACAATCCGTGCACTCAAAGAAACATCGTTTTACAACCCAAAGCCGCCAGACAAATGGACACCTGGGGATCCCTGAAACGAGGAATGTCTTAGTGAACGCCACATGTGGTTCCACTCCTAAAAACGAGCGAAGTGAATGCTGTGGTGGAGGCCCTTCGATTGGTTTTCGCCCGATGGACTAAAGAATTAAGGGATCCCTGAGTAAAAGGACCTACATCACCGACGTGGGGATTTTTGATCTTGTTTTGTCTCAAATCGGTGAGCTCGCCATCAAGTGAGCAGAACACACCCCTGCAGATAAATGAGAACCCCACGACTCATGTTCGAAGAAATCTCCTGGTGGGGAGGGGGGCATGTGAATTTGCGGCAGAGCAAGATTGCGGTGGGCCAAAGAGACTTGACACCCCTCTCTTCGCTGGATTGGTCCAACTGCCAAAAAGCTTCACTTGCCGCAGGTGGGTGGGAACAGTGTCATGTCTTAATACTATTCAATGTAAGTTGTTTGTTTGAAATCCATTCCCAAAGTAAGGCTTCATGCTTTTGCGAAACCATCCTCGGACTGCCCCCCCCCGGCTCTTAGCACAACTCTGGGGTCGCTAAAAACTGGTTGGTCATTGCTCCAAAGAAAGGGGCCAGGGTCCGTTGAAAATCAACAGCTCCATGTACCCTACCAGGAGCTTCCCCCGATTTGATTTTGATCTGGACTAGGCAAATTGGGCCAATGGAACTAGGCTCACCCGGCACACAACGTTTGGAGGCCAACGCTAGGCATGTCGACAGGTGCCCCTACCCACATGTCTCACATACACGGATCGCCTGGGGCGCGCGAAGCGACGGCGGTACCTCGAAATCGAGTCGAGGGGAGTGGCGAGAAAAAGTGAGAGAGACTGTTTGGGGTTGGACCGCCAAAAGCGTGTTTTTCCTACTGAGTTCTTTAGTTGCTTTTTGGAGTTGGACCACCAAACACGTGCTTTTGCCACTGAGCTGTTTGTTCCTGAGTTCCGTTGCGGGCTTAGTTACGTTTTGGGGTTGGACCACCCAAAGTGTGTTTTTCCCACTGCGCTGTTTGCGCCACCCTCTAGAAACCAAGTGAGATCCCAGCGATTTCATTTCAACCTGGCTTTCTGGCAAAGGGCTTGCCAGCCCTTAAAAACCAAAAGGACGAATTGGCGAAAGGTTACCTACTATAGTGGTGACTGGGATCCGGGTATGATATGGAACCCCTCATTTCTGGAGCGATCTGACTTTGGAGAGGCACCCTAAGTGTCCTTGCTGGGGCATGTTGGGCAGCAATTCAACAGCCCTTGGAACGTGCTGGTTTTTTGCTTCTATCCTTCTTCTGGGAAACGAGCATGGGGAAGTGAACAGGTTGCCACCCGAACAGCAGCCATCAAAAACCGATATGACACTACCAAAAACCGATACTCATCAACTTGCAAAGCGCATAGGGGATCCCCGAAACACTGTCGAAACATCTTGCAATGGGAACCCTGACAAGGGTGGTTCACAACGCTTGTGACATTGTAGTAGAGGGTTTATGACCATTCTTACGAACCTCAAAGTCAACAAGTTCGTTTGGTTCCTGATCTCTCCTGACACAAGCAGCTTGTCTCAGCAGGGATTGACCCTGCGTTTTTAGGGGAACTTCATAAAGAACTCAAAAGCACCTGCAAACTCTGTAGGAATTCCCGCAGTTTAGGTTCTCAGGTATTGTAATTGGATGTTGATTAGGTTAAGAGGGGAAGTGGGCCCTCTAAGGCTTCAATGGTAAAACGGGTGAGCGGGTGTCAATGAAAGGATTACCAACCGCACATGTAACCAAACATGTGTGGTGTGTCTTTTTGAGGCCCTTTTTGGGGTGGTTTTCAAGGGAAACCAATCTGAACACTGTTTTTGTAGGAGGGGGTCCCGCCAGTTAACGCACATCCATATAGGGAAATCAGTGGTTCGCCCCTGGTTGTTCCCTAACGTTCCCGAACCCCAAACTAACCATAGATACCCTGACAACGAACCTGTCGTAGGGACCCTTTTCAAGAAACACAAATCGAAATGATACCATACCTTCGTAGATACTTCTGGCTATACCCTCATTGTATTTATGGGTCCTTCTCTGAAGAAACAACCCGGGGAAGAGTGAGGTCTGAACAAACAAATTAGTGAAGGGAATCGGAAATTAACCCTATTAGGACCGCCAGAAATCAAGAGAGAACTAACCCCTCCTATGAGCACATATTTGTTTACGGCAACAATCCAGAAAATCACCTCGCCCCCCTTACGCTTGATTGCACCAAATGCTAAACCAATACTAAACTGACAGACCTCATTTGGTGGTACTCCCAGCACTTTGAAAGTCTACTGGTGTTGGGATGCGGGCAAGCCCAAAGAGAGGGACAGTCACACAAGCCATCGCGTGGGCCTGCGTGCATGGTCCATCTTTGATGTGGCTTGGACAACCCAACATGGTCTTCAAATATACAAGTTGCAGTTCCACTCCACTGGCCAGTTGTATTTTCGTAGGGAAAGAAAAGGGGACACAGAAGCCCCTCGTAAAAATAAATCTGTCCTTTTGCAACCAAACAAAAAGTGGGGGGATATAATAGGAGGGGATCAGACTACCCCAACTCACGTCTCAAGCTGCAAAACTCATAGGGCACCACCCCAACCCCCTTTCTTGTGGGTTTGAAGGGAACTAACAGGAAAACAAGGGTACCCCTAAAAACCACACACACATACAGACACATCCATTTTCAGAAACAACCCAATGATTTTCTCGTCGAGAGGCATGTGGCACAGCGGCTCATAGCGCTGCTTGCACGTCAGCTCCTGAAGGGAGGCTTTTTTCAGCTACCCAGTGGATCCAGTTGCTGTTCCTTTTGGTTTTAAAGGGTGGTTCCTTTGGATACCTACTCTTATACCGGAAAATGGAATCATTTGGCTGCAGCATTGATCTTGGATCCTGAAAAAGTATGGGAAGCACAATGTGGCTCAGGAATAGGGTATCCCCAAGCTGGGTTGTCTTGGCAAACGGAAGCAAAGACTCAAGCCTGGGGTCCATGTCCTGATAGTTTCATTTTGACCCATACCATGGTTACATTTGTAGGTCACATTGGATCCGCAGGACCCAGACCTCCAGGAAAGCTTGCCGGCCCTTTGGTTTGGCTCGTCTTTGTTAACCTGATTGGTTGGCGTTCAAAAGGGATTGCAAAAGGGAAACCAACGAATTCTTTACGGGGTCCAACCAATTTTGCACCAAAACCGTCCATGCACCAAAACCCTCAGATTCGGGAAAATACGATGGGCCCATCCCATCTTTTTGGGCTTGGCGCCCCCTTTTTATGATCATACCGGGAAGCCAAGAGGAATACCAACCTGCTTCTCGGGAAACAAGACACGCCTTTCCAGTTTTGGTTTCCGGGGTGCCAGAAACTGACTTTTTTCGTCCTCAAAGGTGGCAATGCTGCTGTTTCCTCAGCGCTTGCGGACTTGCGGACTTGCGCGAGCGGAAGCCCAAGTCGACTTCCACCCAACGATCGACAGGTTGCGGGTATGAAGATGGCGAACCTCCATTTGATGAAGTTCCCTGGTAAAAAAAAAAGAAAAATAATAAACAGTTCCATCAGTGGTCCGTTCCCTGGACAAAAATGAACCCTCTAAGAAAAAGCAAGAGCAACATGGTCCCTCAGTGGTAGATTGGAAACTGAAAGCAAACCGCACACAGCGCCCCGAAGCTCCCAGCCATTCCCTGGACTTTACCTCTCACGTCTCCAGTGAACTGGATCCAACAAAATCTTGGAGACCTCCGTGCTTCCCACTGGAACATGGTCTTCCCCACTACTTGACACTTGCTGAGCGGATGGGCCAAAGTGACCAAACGTTTAACGTGCCAATAAAATGGTCTTCCCGACAAGCACAAAAGTCCAGGAGCTCGGAAAGCGAGAATGGCGGCTTCTCTTGGTTGCCTGCTTTTGTTGGAAGCACTCGCGTGTCTCAAAGCAGGGATTTGGACGCGCCAAAGGGTGGCCGTCCTTTTGGCTGAAAGAAGGTAAGTTAACCTCCAAAAGGGTACTCTGTTGTTCAGTGACCCTGGAAAAATAAAGGGAACCCTTTTTGGGGAAGACCATTTTTAGTGAGCAGAAACTAAAAAAAGAAGGAACAATTGGTGCCGCTGAACAACTGAGGGTACCTTCAAAACACACACCCACCCACCCACCCACCCACCCACCCACCCACCCACCCACCCACCCACCCACCCACCCACGCACGCACCCACGCACGCACGCACGCACGCATGCACGAGTTGAATGCGAACGCGCCTTCCAGTGCGAAGCGACATCTGACCAAACACGACCCCATCTTTCTGCTAAGACAAACTCCCACGGAACCAGCACGCAACAGGCGCCGGAAAATGGGTTCTCTGCCCCTAAAACTCACCGGCTGAGTGGATGGCCCCAAAAAAGTCCAAACTTTTTGTTTACCACTAAAATGGTCTTCCCAAAAAGTTTAAAGTTCATGAACTCAGGAAGTGAGAAAACCATGCACGAAAATAGAAGCCCGGCTTGAACCTGGGCCTTGAGTTTAGTCTTACAGAAAAGTTGTCCCTTGGCCCAAAGGGTACACTTGCAAAGCATCTTCGACTGCAAACAATTACGCTTGTTGTACAGAAGGAACACCATACTGCCAACCTCAGCTTGCTCCGGAGGATACTACTGAGGAGTGGTTTCCTTTCAGGAAATGATCAAAAGGGGGCTCGGAATGGAAGGGTCTCCGGGTCGATCCGAGGTTGACCTTACTCCTTGGCTGGAAACAGGACCCCAGCAAGACACTATACACCCCAAAAAAGCAAAAAAGAAAAACAGAGGGACGGATTCTGGGGAAGACTCGCAGAGTAGCTAGGTCCACTCTGTTTGCAACTTTTTTCTCCCTAATCCATTTCACACCTCCAGGGCCAAAGCTCGCACACGGCATCAAGGGCCCTGGGACCCTGGTTGCAGAGACTCTTGGGTTGGGTTAGAAAACATTTGGCATAGAAAACACTTGGATCGTATGCTGCTCCCAAATGGATGATCGACTGCTAGACATGTTCACCAAACCTCACATGCAAACGTACCCACACAGCCCACCCACGCCCCCCCGCCCCTCTCACCACGGACGTTGCCAAGTACCATGCCGGGGTACAACGCATTTTGCTCTGCCGGAATCGTCGGAAGGGCAACAAACCCATGCCCAATATATGACTCACTTCCTGCGCGGATGGACCAACGAAGTGCACACATTTGTTTGCCGCTGGCAAGAATCCAGGAACTCAGGAAGTGAGCCGACGTGCAACTAAAAGCCGAACCTTGCGTGCAGCTGTAGTCAATATTTCCCGTCGTGCCAATTTGGTGCCATCGGCTTTGGCCCAAGCAGCCTACGGACACCTTTTGGAAGCCTAACATGACAAGCACTAAAAGGAGCTTTTGGCCATATGGCCATGGCCATATGCACACAGCCAGACTAAACATTGACCGATTCAAGTCCAAAGGCCTCTTGGCAAGCCCTGCGCCTCCTGTTCCAGTAGCGGAACGCGGAAAGCAAATTGTGCATCGCCCAGCTCGCTCGAGCTGCTTTCAGCAAAGCACACCTCCTACTTGTTCATGGTCTAGGGCTCTGTAGAAGAGCTACCCGAATCTCACTTTTTGAGTGGATGGGCCACCAAAAGTAACCACACTTTTACATGCTAATAAATTGTCTTCCCAAAGAAAATCAATTTGCTACTTTTCACGGGAATTCAACCAACGGGATCTGAAGAGTATGGGTCAAATGACCAAGGCTTGGATCACTCAAGCTTGCGGAAAGCAGCGTTGGTCGTTCTCCAGCAGTGCCAAAGAAATGGCAAATGGAGACCAAAGAGATGGAACATGGAAAATGCTGGAACAAGAAGAACGGATACTATGATTGTTATTCTGAATCAAACCACTGGACTGAAACCAAGGCCTGAGCCCCTCTCAGACCCTCCTGCGCTTCATCGCAGACTGTGCACCCATGACAGCCTGTGTGATGTCGCCTGTGCCACGCAAGTCCAGCACTCCCTGCGTTCGACATTGCTTCTCAAGGGAACGGATCACGACACAGATGTCCAATTGACCTGGCTACCCGGTGAAGGAAAAAAGTGGGGTGCTCACAGACTAGGAGCGACTGCTCAGAATTTGCGAGGAGACTCGTTTGTGGAAATAGTGTACAGGGATATGTCTTCTTCTACTAGGAATGCTCGGGCAGCTTAAGGACTTATAAGTAAGTTACAAAGAACTTATTGAAGTTAGTTGTAGGGCAGCTAGGAGGAGCTTGCAAGTTACTTATATATCTTGTTCGATCGGTTTCTGCGCATTCTCATGCTCGCTGGTGTTTTGCGTGGTTTTGGTGCGTTTTGCATCCAATTTCTTCAGATTGTGGGAGTTCGCTCACCATTGTTTTTCTCCTCGCACCTTTTCTTCAGCCGTTTACACCTACCTAGTGTGGGAAAGGCATTGGACAAAACATAGTGAGCCAAACGGAAAGCGGAAACTACACAAGATCGCAGCAGATCACGTCGAGCGCATACAATCCGCGTAGATTCGCTTACATGGTCGGCCCGCGTACATTGCGTACAACACCAACTTGTGCAGTTCTTAGGCCAACCCGCTGTGACTGTCGCATCCGCGTGCATTCCGCGTACTCGATCCACCCAGGATTTCAGCCCGACATTGGGTTTCTATCAGGGGGCCGCGTTAAGAACGCACCGAGCCAAGAGCACGCGCCGAACAAAGTGTGTGCACGTATCGACCATATAAACGGCATCTCAAAATCACCGCTTTGGTCGGGCCGAGAGGCGGCCAAAGAACTCCTAACGACGAAGAACATTGGTGCGTTTTCATTACAATTTGCATGTCAAAAAATACGGTTGAGCAACCAAAACAACACAAGCAGTAAGTTTTCCCAAGTTCTTGTAACTTCACAAGGCATGAAGTGCTTAACTAACCTCTATGTTACTAAGTTCATAGTAACTCACCTCGGCCAAAGTGTTCAAGTTATATCCAAGTTACGCAGTTCTGTTCAAGTTGACGAGTTAACTAGTTTACAACTAACTTATCAATCTTATCCAACTTATCAGCCATTTATAAGTCCTTGAGTTGCCCGAGCATACGTCGAGGGAACCCTCAAAATGGGTGGTTTCCTTCTGGTTTCCTTTAAAAACGCAAAAGGCAGCAACTCTAGAACTGACAAGCCCCCAAGGCAATCATCCATCATGTTGAAAGTTCCCAGTCTAAAAGCTGAAGACTTCAGCCATGCAACTGGAGTTACTTTGTCCTTAGAACGACTTGCTTCCCTATATGAGCCTATATGGATATGCATCGGGAAAGCAGATATGTCCAGTGATAGATTCCCTCGAAAACCAACAGTGGATAGCACATATTCGTAAGCAAAATGGAAGATTGTGATTGAACTGGCCAGTTCAGCCATGCAACTTAACTTGATCAGCTCCTTCTCCTCGTAAGCTGCCACGATCTCGCGATCGCTCAGCGACGTATCTGCGGAGGCTAAAGCGGATACGCCACCGCCTTGCACTGCTGCGACCACCACCTGTACGGCTGGCACAGGCCCTCATCTTGAACACTGCGCCTCTACTTCCATGTGGTTCAGACCCCTGGAAAAAAACAACACATATTTCCATTCAGTGATAGATTCCCTTTAAAACGAACAGGGGGAAAAACAAATATATAGTTTTAAGCAAATGGAAGTCTAGCACACCTCTCAAGAGCGAACTCGTCTTGGTGATGGCTCACCAGGAACCTCCCAGCAAAAATGGGGGTCGACAGGCCTTGCAGAAGACGACTTGCTTCTTGGGAAACGACTTTGGACTTAAATGGATTTGTGACCATCCCTGGTAACCGCAGGTACGCAAATCAGTCTTTGAGCGAATTAGGCACAAAAACTGCCAGCGCGAAAAATGGAAGCTGGTCCCCTCACCCTAGCTCCATACAGAGCTGTATTTTTTTTGGAATAGTACCAATCCAACAAGCAGGTACTCCCTGTTTTACATGTGGTACCCCCCTAAAGAGTGTTTTACATAAAGACCAATCCACACGCAAAAAACAAAAGCGACTAAACACCAAAACGCACATTTCACTCCAGGCCTTCAGAAAGTTCTGGTTCTGCAGGCGCGGGTCTGCGTGCGCAAACGCGCTAGGGTACCAGGAGATGGCGGCCGCGACAACCTCATCGGGGTTGCTCCAAAATGATGCCAATAATGGGGACCCTGGCAGAAACCCACCCTTCAGCTTCCCTTCATGGCTTGGATTGGTGGTTTGGATTTGGATTTGAACCCATGGTTCTTGTAGGGGGACCTAACCACCAGATCAGTCCAAACCACCAATTAGTGGGAAGCTGAATACTGCTAGTACGGGGGTGTCACCCACAACAATTGGAAAAGCCAGTAAGCGCCAACCGAGATGAAACGGATGGGATTGACCCGGCGCACATGTTAGACCAACTATGGTCAGACCCTCGAGCGAATAGGCTTAACATCCAGGTTGCCAAACCCTGAATCTTCCAACTTGCACTACTGCTAAAACAAAAACAATATTGTTAGACAGCATGGGTCATTCAACTTTATAATTCTGAGAACCCAAGCACTGGTTGACTTGCGGCAAGATGATCATGCATAGTTAAACTCAATCCACATAAACTATACGTTGAGGTTCCTTCATGAAAAGCAATTGCACAGTGGGTGGGGTTTACCGACCCCAAAATGGTCACCAAGCTTTCTGACCTCATTGTTTGGCCCAGTCCAAAAGTCAGCCCACCATTTCTTCAGACCATCGCCCGGCCACTCGGTCAAACAAGGCCGTAACGATTGGGCTGACCAATGGCAGGCCGGGATTTCTGACATGGATCACAGCTGCAAGTGGGCACGCAAACATCCCCTTTGGAGGGTCCAGGGTCGGATGCTACAAGTCGGGATGGTGAAAAAATAGGCATGGATCCTGAAAAACAAAGCCCTAAGGGCTAAAGTACCATCCACGCAGGCAACTGATCAGTCTGAACCCGCGCCATCCTCCAAGAGCACCTTAACATTGCCCTCGGAGAATGTGAAAAGGCGGCCATTTCAGGCAGTAAGCAGTACCCGATAGCACTCACTTCCTCAGTGGATTGGGACGTCAAGTCGGAACTGTTTGGTTGCCACTCAATTGGTCTGCCTCCCTTCAAGTCCGGGGCCTTCCTTGGGGATGCGTAATCCAGATCATGGGATACCACATGCCACAAGTGGCAACCACCGGCATCCTGAACAAGGGTGGTGCCTTCAAAAACAGAAACCGACAAGTGTCCGTGCCTCTTCATCACCCTTGAATTCCTCACTCAGGTGCTCCAAGACATTGGACACGGACACCAACCTTGGGCAAACTCGATAAGGGAACGTGGCGGACAACCAAAACGGTCAAAACGTTGAAAGGCAAGCTAAGTTTGGAAACTAACAAAGGAACGCCAAAACCAAAAGGACTGCTCGCAGTCAGTTTCGGCTGCAGTTTGCGGCTCCTTCTTTGGGAATGGTGTGGTTCGGAAGAACGAGCGCGCAGGCCCCTCTTAGGTATGACTTCTAGGGACCTTTCTGGTGAAAATAATTCGGTGGGCATTCCTGTGTACCAACCACGTAGGCGGTTCTTCAAGGAAAATCATAGCCATTCCTAAGAGAAAAGGAGTCGTAAAGGGATCTATGCACTGCAGGTCTGGCAGAACAGGGCGAGACCAACAAAAGGTCATCTACTTCCCTTCAGGTTCACATGGCTCTACACCTCGGGTGCAGAGGAATCTGGAAATGGAGCCCCTTTTCGGGTTGAATCCGCTAGCTTCCTTGGTTTGACCAAGTCCTGGCCACCATAGGCGGCTACCCGAAAATGGGTTGCCCTGGTAAATGGAACAATGAATCAAACCTGCGGTCCATATCCTAGTGGTAACTAGTTAACTAACCCCTGCAGATAAACATGAAGCACCAAAAGCCATATTTTTTTGAGACGAATCAGGGGCTTCTTTCCGTGAGCAACCCGGCTAACTTGACCAGGCCTTAAGTCTCCCAGTGTAAAGGAACATGGGGTGCTTCTTTTTTTGAGGACCTGCACAAATGGTGCTTTTCCTATTGGATGTTCTAAAAAACCACCAAACAAGGGGTTCCCCCCCCGCAACAAAATTAAAACCCACATCTGTTTCCCCTCTTTTGTTTGCAGGTAAGCTAAGTCTGGCACTTCAACACAAAGTCCCGGTCTTGCAGAAGCTCCGACTTGACCTCAACCAACTTCTGGCCGATGCCATGCAAGTCGCCCTCCAGCATTATTGTGTGGAGAGCTGTGTACATGATGTCCTGATGCAAAAACAACACAAACAAACACCAAGCAAAAACAAACAAACAAACAACCAACCAACCAACCAACCAACCAACCAGACCAATCAATCAATTCAAACAAGCAAACAAACAAACAAACAAGCAAGCAAACAAACAAACACACAAGCAACAAAACAAGAAAAGCAACAACAAGTAGACAAGCAGGCGCAGCACGGAAACGGTCTTGCTGAGACTTAGACCTTTCTAGGCGGCTGGCTTTCACCTACTTCTGGTGACTGTCCCTCACCCTTTCATCTAACCAGGTGTTGATTGTGGCCATTTGCTTTGAGGTTAGTCCTTGCCTAAAGTCTTAAAGGATGGATCCACAAATCATCTGCGCACACGGAAAACACCTACAGTGTGGGTCGCAGATGGGTTTTGTTGAATTGTCCCACGTGTGGGTCTGTCTTTTTGGGGACCCTTGTTGTTGGGTACTTCTTTCAGGAAAAGCAGGGGTCTGCCAAAAAAACAGACGAGCCATCCATGTATCCTTACCCGACCGGCTCCTTGTCTGACCACGCCCAGTCAGGGAAGCACACGGTGGCAGATCTGGCCAGGTGCAGTTGCCGAGCCTTCCTTGCAGATCCCAAGCTCGGCGGCGAAATCTGCGAAGCCCTGCTAAAAGTGAATAACTTTTAGTGGTGTCATGGAACACCCAGTTGGCAAAAGGTTAAAGTCCTAACACCCAAGCAAAATGCATCAAAGCAAGAACATGGGTCATAGCCACTTTTTAAGGGTCAAAGGAGACTCCAGGTAGATATACCTTTCTCTCACAGCTTGGACCGGGACCCAAAGAAACAACCCTTAACACTGGTTGCACCCCCCAGATTTACAGTGGGAAAGTCCCACATTTTTGCAAGAATCGTGAAGGTCCAGTTTGATAGAAATTAATCCCCATCTTTGTGGCTCAATGCCTAAAGTTAAACTTGTGGATGGAGAATAAATCCCTCCCAACACTTATCGCACGGCTAAGAGTATGGCTGGTAGCCAAGGCAAATGATGTCCAACCCAAACAGAAGTGGGCCTGTCTCCAAACGCTATAAAGGCCAGAACAAACAACAACTTGTGGAATCGGAATACTATCAGCCTCAATTTGTTGCGCCTTGATCATAGGACACCATTTGGCGTATGCATTGGTCAGCCTCCGCTTATTTGGTTGTATGAACTCATGGTTTGCAGGTTAGGCAGTGGTGTCCAAGTCAACAACGGCAAAGGGTTCGAATCGCCAAACCGCCTATCCAAGCCATCTATCCAAAACAGCGCTGTGGGAATTGCCGTTTCCCGGTATCACAGAAGTGCAACAACCCTGATCCAACACGAGCATGGTACCAGATTCGTTTTGCAGCAACTCAAAAAAAGGTGCCTGCGCACCCTCATATCAGAGTCAGTGCCTGGTTGCTGGTAAGTGGGCGGGTGCACGGGTGCAACATGGCGGGCTTGGAAATACAATAGCTAGGTAAAACTCTACATGGGTTCTATGGGTGTTTCTTTTGTAGGGGACCCCCCAAATGCCCCCCAAAAAAGACAGACCCATATTGTAGCACCCTGTGAGGACAGCGCCCTTTGAAATTGATAGCTCATTGGAGCCAAATGCTCATTCCCGAATCAGCTGGTGAACATCTCATTTACATGCAGATTTGTGTCCACCAGCCATTTTGAAAGGTTTCCCTACCCCACCTCCTAAACATCTTGGGTGAAACCAGGGTTCCACGTGAGGGGTACAACTTTGGAACCGTTGAAACGGACCTCCTGCGCAGGTGTATATGGCTGTCCTTTTTTGAGGGTACCCATTTTGGCGTAGTTTTGCAGGAACACCAAAGCAAAGCAACCCTTTTTTGGGGGTACCATACTAGATAACTATATTGGTATGCACATATAGACATACATAGCTAATTACATATTATAGACACGAGCGAATGAGAATATCGCCACAACAAGACGAACCCAAAACCCCTACTGAGCAAGAGCAATCGGACTGAAAAGCTCCGCCCAGGTTCCTCACCCAGGCGGTCCGCGCAGCACTTCTGGCGATGGCAGTGAGCAGCAGCTCATCGGTCAGGTGCAGCTTGTGGTCAGCCAGCAGCACTTGGCCATCAGGAGTCACCAGCTGGTACCTAGTTCAATACCCTCAAAAACCTGGACTAGACGGGTTCTAGTCCCCAACGGACAATGTGTATCGCACCCTACTTAGTTCTTTGAACGCAGTGAACGAGTAACCCGAACCACTGGTTTGACAAGAGGTCAGTTTGAACTCACCCACTAACATGTTCCTCCTCAGGGGGGTGTCTGTCAGTTTCCATGTTAGTGGAAGGGAGGTAAACTTTGCTTATTGGAGAAAAACGGCAAGCAAACAAAAACAAAAGCGCATGTTTGACTGACCGATGGACAGATGGTGCCGCACCCTGGGTCAAGCTGACAAACACCACTCCCTTGAAGGCAGCCAACAAAAACCGAAGACCAATCGCAAGTTCTTCAAACATCTGCTTTTGGTTACAAACATGGATTCATTTCGTGGTGCGAAGGGGTTTCGCAACCATCCAAAGCATGATTTTGAGAAGCAGTTGACTCTGAGGCACTTGGACAGGTCCAGCCCGGTTTGCTTCTTCACCGCCACCTGCCAGACGTTGAGTCTGAATCGTGTGCAGCTGCAACTGAACCGGTGGAAAACCTTGTTGGGGGTGTCTTTCTTTAGAGTTGGTAACCCTTTTTGTGGTCTCAAAGGGAAACCACGGGCTTGGTTTTGGTTGTTCCGCTTCCCCCCCCTTGAAACAAGCCGCCTGTTTGCAGTTGGCACCTTTAGCAGGGAATCCTCAAATCAAAACGAAAGAGTGCCTTTGCTGGGCATTTTAATTAAAAGCCTGCATTTCCAGAGTTTAGCCATGGCCCTTTTGACTCGAGTTGCAATGCACGCTGGCCCTGACGTGTCCACCCGCACACTGCAGCATTTCAGGGCAAAGCCTGCAGTGCCCGTCATGAAACCTCAAGATTATACACCAAGACCTTCAAACTATCCATACAGATTGGCTGTGGCCCAAAAATGGGGTGAGCTCCCTGTAAGGGTAGTGTGCGTGTTCAGGTCTTTTTTTGCTCCTTCCAATATGGACATATTAAGACCCCGAGATCCCAAGCCCCACTGTTCTGCTAGGCTGGATGAAACGTTAAGGCCGTACTATCATCCCCATCATCATTGCTATAAACCCTTGTGACGAGTGCTACTTGCCACTAATCTTTCTCCCGGGCCAACTCAAGTGCAAAAGGTTACAACATGATTTATCGGTTCGTTAAGGACGCAGCTCTAGTTCGTTTAAGGTGGCCATCCAAAGGGGCGAATATTCACCGTGGTGCCGGGAGTATGAAGGGCAATCACCCATCCAGCAGAAAGGAACTTGAAGGGTGCCCAACAAGACAAAACACAAAGTTCAAGCGCAAGACTAACCCACCTCAACCAAAACCTCCTGTAAATGAGGGAAACACAAAGGCACCTTTTCGTTGGCAGTTGAAGTTAAAGCTAAGCTCCAGCAACACTAAGATACTCATCTGGGTGAAACAAATCTGTCTCAACTTGCTGTTTACGGCCTTTACGGCCCACACCAAACACGTGCCTGAGCTTCCAACGAATTCGTGGTTTGGACTAGTGGGTTGGTGCCCGACTCCCCCCCGCCAGAAAACAAGAAGAGAAAATGACCACCAACGCGTCAAAGAGTATTTCAAAGGAAGGCAACAAACTACTAAGGGTTACCTGAAGTCACTGAAGTCCAGAAGCTCAGGTGCAAGAACATGGCTTTGACCATCCACAAGAAGGACAAAACGAAGCAACTGGAGGTCTGAGACCAGGAAGCAACCCCCAAATGCCTCCATTGTTAAAAAACAGATGGATTTTTTTTCTGGCAAAGGGTCTACAAAACCAATCTAAACCAGTGGAACCCAGCTAGTTCTAACCTAACTAACCCAAAAACACCTATGTACCTCCAGCTTCCTCTTGCTTAAAAACCCCGATGTTTCATCTCGAGTGGCTTCCTCTTGCTTAAAAACCCCGATGTTTCATCTTGAGTGGCTTCCTCTTGCTTAAAAACCCTGATGTTTCTTCTCGAGTTGCTTCCTCTTGCTTAAAAACCCCGATGTTTCATCTCGAGTGGCTTCCTCTTGCTTAAAAGATGTTTCCCTTCCTCTTGCTTAAAAACCCTGATGTTTCTTCTCGAGTTGCTTCCTCTTGCTTAAAAACCCCGATGTTTCATCTCGAGTGGCTTCCTCTTGCTTAAAAGCCCCGATGTTTCTTCTCGAGCTTCCTCTTGCTTAAAAACCCCGATGCTTCATCTCGAGGCCTTCTAAACGCCCGGCACCCAAACAACATGTGCCAAGAAGTTGCAGTTTTCTACTATGGTCCAAAGCCAAACAGTGCGACTAAACTCCGAAACGGACCGATCGGGAGTGAGGCACAAGCTGGGCAGCTCCCTAAGTGGAGGGTTGGCCAATCCCAATCCTTCTCCCTTTAATGTTGACCCCGGATGAATAAACCCCTGCTTGGGATTGTTCCTCTCCGAAAAAAATGAACCCCCACTAAAACCGAGGACACCCCCACATTAATAAACACTGGTTTATTCATCAGGGGTCAACTTTACGGAAGCCAATACAAAGCGGACCAAATGTGGACAGGTGCTTCCCCAAAGTCTTCCAAACCCTCGTCAGCTGCCACGCTTGTTGGGAGGGTAAGCATCTTGCGGATGACCTTCAGCCCAGACACGACTCCAGGAATTCTTCTAGGTCCTCCAGTAGAGAGGATAGAAATAGGGTACCCTTTTTTCTGTGGCCTATTTTAGTAGCAGAACTCTCCCAACCAAAAAAAAGGTGTGTGAGGTCGGGCACCTTGGGGGATCTGACTAGATTTCTCCCAACATATTTTCCCCACCAGAAAAGTGGTGAGAGGAGAAAGGCCACCTTGCAGGATCTTGCCTCCCAACACGCCTCAGGCCTCTAAGTCTTGAAGTCCATGAAAGTTGTTGGCCGTGGCCAATCGCAGCATCTCCTGGCCCGAGAGCTGCGTCACCACCAGCCTGGCTGAAAATCCCCGCCAAAAAAACCCGAGAGGCTTGGGGGAATTTGAAGGCACGCCACTTCATTTGGGGGTTCACAATTGGGGTGTGCGCTCTTTGGAGTACCCTTTCTGGAGTGCGGGTTTTCACTTTAAACCAACTGAAAAACCGAAACTTACCCTTTGGGACTAACTTTGAATCATATAAAACTCCAAATTTGGGATCAGCATTTCGGGATCGTCCTCTTTGGGAGGAACCCCCCCAAGACAATGCCGAGCACAAGCTGCTGAAAACCGCTGTCGAAAAAATATGGTTGAAACACGGTTGAACCGCAACCTCATGTTTCTTGCTGGTTCTCAGCAGGGAATGAAGGAATGAACCCTATAAACCATCCATCCAATGGTTTCCTTTGAGGGAACCCCCCCCTTCAACGGCCCGGACTCGGTCATTCCCTACCTATCGCACCAGCAAGTTTGGTTATCCCAAGTGCGACCAGCCTTTGAATTGACAAGCCCAAACAGGGAGTCCCAAAAGGAGATTCCTCTATCCCAGACGCTCCAATTCGATTGAGGGCTCTACAGCCAGGATTTTCCGACCTCCAAATATCGGTTGGCGGGGTGTCTAATGAAATGGATAGTTCTGTGGTTCATTCGCTGAGCACCCTAAAGTGACGGTCCCTGATTAAGGAAAGCCAAACGCCAGAATACCAGATAATGCGGTTTGGTCACTGTTCTGCCAATGTGAAACAACCCTGCATCTCCCAGATCATCCTGCTGACAGATCAATAAAACATCGGGTTCATAGACAACAGGGTAAGTTCCAAGTAAGGACCCGCATCACAAGCAATGTAAACTGTGGACTCATCCGTAGGAAGTTGACATCAGTAAGCAACCGCTAGATACCAACTAACCTGGGGAACCGCGGTCTAGCTTTCAGCAGGATTCGGATGCTTCTGTTGCAAGTCAACAAGATAGTGACACGAACACAACGTTCAAAGTGAAGTTGGCAAAAAACGCAAAAACTAAAGCCTCCCCCCCCACAAAAGAAAAGAACAAATGGCCCAAAACAGTCATACATTTCTACATGGGTCCCCCCAAATCCAACCCCCCAAATCCCCATATTTATATAAGCACAAAATAGTGGGAGGAGTCAGAGGCACGCTTCAGGATTCTGATTGTCAGACATGCGCGCAATGCTGTCGCCGCTCTCTTGTGCTTGGTTTAGGGTTCAAGCCGAGTTTTTTTGCAAATTTGCTTATTTTGTGCTTATTAAAGCTTATTAAAGCTTATTAAAGTTTATTAAAGTTTATTTAAGCTTATTTTGTGCTTAATTTGTGCTTATTTTGCGGTTATTTTCTTATTTTGCCCTTATTTTGGCCTTATGTTCCCCTTATTTTGTGCTTATTTTCTTATGTTGCCCTTATTTTGCCCTTATGTTGCTCTTATTTTGCCCTTATTAAAGTTTAATAACTGTTGCAAAAATAGCAAGGAGATAAGCTTAAATAATCTTTAACAAACTTTAATAACCTTTAATAACCTTTAATAAACCTTAATAAACTTTAATAAGGGCAAAATAGGAAGAACCTGTATAACCCCCTGAATCCCATGAAAATTGTGGATTTGGGGGGTGAATCTGGTGGGACCCCTTTAAAAATCTATGAAACAGAGCTACCCGCTGCACCACCAACATGGAACCTGGGAATCCTTGAAAGACCATGTTCGTGAAGGGACCATTGGCTGGGTTCCATGGCAACATGGGTGCAAGGGACATGCAACGGCCCAAAGTTAGAACAAAATAACAAAATCTGCAAATCAAACCCACACAAATGCGTCCCAACACCCGCGGAAAACCCATCGACAACCAACACAAAACCCCCACAAAGCCACAAAAAAAACCCACCCATTCCCGCACCCAATCTCCCAAAACAGTTGAACAAGACCTGTACCGTAGTCTGTCCAACCATGGTATGCTAAAAAAGTCTCACTAAAATGAACAGAACCAACAAACAAGCAAACAACTAAAACACATGCCAAGAAGAATTGCCAGAAAACTTCCCAACGCCCAAGCCAAGACACCTGGCTGAGCCCATGAATCACGAAACCGCTCAAGACCGGTGTTTGCTCAAGTTTGAGCCAAGGAGCTGAGGAGAGTCAAATGTTATCATCCCTTCAAGTGATAAACTATTTGTGCTCAAGTCCCTTGGAAGCAAACATCCTGTAGTGATAGCTTCGCTTTAAAACCAACAGGGGAATGTAACACATATTCCTAGGCAAGCGGAAGGGAAAACAACCTCGACCGAGTCCTCAATAAGTCCTGATCTTAGCAAAACTACAATTGTTAAGGGGTGCAACCTGAGTTTAGCTTCACAACGAAC